ATTCCGATTTCATATAATAGAGAGTTTTCGCATCCTTTGCTGCTCCCATTCCCAGACATTTTCTATGGTGTGGAAATGGAATTCCGGAGCGATGCTTTGCACTTTTTTATTCCCAAACATTTTCCCTATCAAATTTCATGTCATATAGTAGGGAAGGGGCTAAATGAAATACACCATCCACGCGCTCTATCACTCGCAATGACCGCTGACGAGCTTGTTTTACTGTGCGCGATCCTCGACGATACCAGATGCAACATTGCCATGCCACTAGCCATTGCCGCGCTATACAACCCTCCAGATGCTGCTCATTCATTCATACTGTATCTCGTTATACGGTAAGGAGTTGACGACGTTGTCTGGTTTGACCACCTTTATCAGAACTAAATTCATTTTTGTTTAGAAAGCTTATATACCATTTCTAGTTCAGAATTTTTGTTACTTTGAAATCTTTATTTTCAAATATACGATGTCGAGTGATACGACCGTGACCCAGCGTTCAAGTATCAGCGTCTTGCACCACCGCCAACTCAAGAAAAGAAGCGAGAGGGCGACAACGAGCAGGAGAACTCGTTGAGCTACAGTGCTATAGTCTCCCCTGGGGAGGATGAAAGCGCTGATGAGCGCTATAGCGACGACGGTGTCTCGATGAGGTTCGGCAGCGACGACCTCAAGAGCGACGGCTCATCACGTGAAGACCCAGACCTGCTGTCGAACAACGATGAGGAAGCTCCAGTGGCTCAGACGTGGGATCAATCCCTTGCGCCTGTGGGAGGCCTGACAAATCGACAAGGTCGAGCGCAATGCAGATGTCACCCTGTAGCGTGCGAGTGTCCGGTGGGACTAGTGCCCAACCCGACGAGCAAAAAGTACCAGACGTGGGAACCTGCGGCTAGCAGGTCGGAGACTCACGATGAGGAAGTTCAGCTCGCTATGCGCTTTGCTGACAGCGGTATGCAGTATTTCCGTGAGTTTTGCAAGACAGACGACTTTGGAAATGTTATGATTGATGCCAGCGACAACTACAATTGCATGTTCACCGCTTTGAATATTGCTGCGGGCGCTATTGGCCTACCGGGCTTAATCCCTCAGGACGTCGTCGATAAATTTTATCGCGGACGTTTTGAAGCAAGGCCGAGACCTACTCAAGTTTTGCACTAAAACCTAGGGTGTGACTTGGTCATTAACAACTTCAAGACAAACCTGATTACGATGGACACGTGCTTTTGGAGTTGACAGAGAAGGATAGACTCACAGATGGGCTCTATCTGGTTGGCTCCTACAACCGAAATTTCTATGAACACTGCGTAATCTTCGTGTTACTAACCAAGGCAAAGAGTGCACCATGATCGACGAAAATAAAGATGGCACAACCCGTGAGGTTTCGATTTCGGATTCCACGTGAATGAACCTTTTCTCGTTCGTGCGTCCATTCCGTGTCTTCACGCCTCGTACGTAAGTATCCTGAATATGTCTGAAGGGGATTTCACGGTGGGTTTTAAACTTTTGGACAATAAGCAAGACGCCCTCACCAAAAACACAGTTATTTATTTATTCATTATTGTTGTGATGGTGCGACTCGTAGCAGCTCTCTCAATTTATCAAATGCTGGTTTGGCCAGAGGCTTAGTGAAAATGTCTGCACACATTTCGGTCGTGCTGCAATAATTGATAGTGAACTCTTTTCTTGCGACTTTCTCTTGTACGAAGAAGTACTTTATATCGATGTGCTCACTCCTTCCGTGCAGCTCTGGGTTGTTGCATATTTTGATACAACTTTGGTTGTCTTGTAGTATCAATCAATGTAGGCTTCAATTAATGTAGGCTTAGGGCTGTAGTAGCCTAGTTATCTTAGCAGTAACTTTATGTATGACAACTCTTACCTGCAGTAGCAGAGTGCGATGTACTCTGTCTCAGTTGTTGATAGCACCACAGTGTGGTGGCAGCGCGACAGCCAACTGATCGGACTCTTACAGAACATGATGTATAGCCACCAATGAAGCGGCGTGTGTATTGCAATGCATAGTCTGAGTTCCTGA